TAGTCATTATGCGGTTATCATTGATCCTCAGCTCCGTCAGATTTGGTGTTCTCCAAGGCTGAGATGGGGTGGCGTATGGAGAAACCTGGCGCGAAGCACGGTGTTCAATACTTAGAAGCAGGGATGCGGAGCCGTGGAAATTTCAGACGGCTCCGGCTCCGACTCCGGAGAAAAAATCGGCTCCGGCTCCGAGTAAAATGTCATATGGCGGCTCCGGCTCCGGCTCCGAGTAAAATGGCCCGGCTCCGCCGACTCCGGCTCCGGCTACGGCTCCGGCTCCTACTCAGTACATCCCCTATGCGATTAATTAAATACGGGTGGAAGAAAAAAGGCGGTTGGATTGGTGCACGTTGCTTCTGTATTTGCATGACAAGGCTATTTTGAATACCACACATTTTACTGCCTTGTACTGTCAAACCGAACTAGGTCAATTTTTTTTTTCTCTTAAAAAAGAGCCGGAGTCGCCCCCTTTTTTGACGGCTCCGGCTCCGGCTCCGGGGTATGCTGTTTCACGGCTCCGGCTCCGGCTCCGGGCAAAATATGCCGGCTCCGGCGGCTCCGGCTCCAGCTCCGGCTCCGGCTCCGCACCCCTGCTTGGTATTGTCAGGGTTGCATTCTGCCCATGCGCACGTCCACTGTGCATGGTCCACAGACCACAGTCCAGTTTCAGGGCCAACTTTTGCCATGACTCGTCCCTCGAATTCGCCCATGATGATTTGCTTAGACAAAATGTTTATGTTGTCTACGTTTATGTTTATTGTATAAAAAAAACACCAACATGTCGAATGATTTTGTCAGGTTGAAATCATTCGACGGATCATTTAAGCTCATCGACGGCACGGGTACCTACTCGGTCATTTTGTCCCTCCTTTTTTCAGTGCAGGCATCATATACCATATCTTGTAGTCTTAATCCACAATGACGACCGTTTTTTAAAGGAAACCAGTAAATAATTGTAAAAACTTTCGGAGATCCGCGCATCTCCACCGCAATAATAACTCAGCAAGCGGCCCTCGCGCCGCGCGCCGTGTCTGAATCGACTCGTGAGACATCTGGCGGCAGAACCTGGTACTGCTTATTGCGCAAAGCCCCATTATTTGCGCCACTTTCTGTCAATTTCGCCTGCATGATGTGTTTTCTTGTAAAGATAAGACAATATGCCAGTTCAAATCCATTTTCATTTAATTATGGGACCACTGGCGGTCGCAGGGGGGGGGGCACGGGGGCCATGGCCCCCCCTTTGGTGCTGAAAGGTGGGGCCATACTATCTTTTGGCCCCACCTTTCAGATCGAACAAAAGTCCTAGAAAAGCTTTTCGTATGTTTCATTTTCTTTCTTGCGCCATCAAAGGACGTAAATTTCACTCATGAGTGGGCTCAGTTTCGCATTCTGTCAATTTGGCGGTCAGCGTCGCTGGCACCGGTTCACGAGTATGGCCGGATCTTATATGGAATATCAGCGTGGGTTTACTTGAGGCTCTCGTAGGCCCAGCATTCAGCAATGGCTGGCATGAGAGTCTGAGACCCTCTTCGGCAGTGGCGGGTGGGCCCTGCTAAAGGAGATTGGCTCCAAGACACTAAAGTAAGACCTCATGGGTTGGTGCTGTGCACCTCAGAAGCCCGGTGGTGACGCCGTATGCCGGCTTGGTTTCTTAAGGATTAGCGTGGGACCTCCGGGGCCTGCATAGAGTTTGCATGAGCTAGTATGTAATCTCAGAGGCATGTGTGTAATGTGTACACAGTGGCGGTCGCGGGGGCCGGGGGGGGGGGGCATCAGGGCCATGCCCCCAAAGGTCAATAAAGGGGGCCATCATATCATTTCCCCCCCCTCAAACAACCAATGGGCCCCCATATAGGTGTATGGGGCCCTGGCAATTATTCGATCGTCACGAGGCTAAAAAACCCACGCCCAGCTATTAATATAGCTTCCACACCGGTCTTTGAACGTCCTACACTGACCTCTGAGGGAACTTCAGTGGCGGTCAAGCGCCTACGTTGACCGCTAAGAGCCTACATCAACCTCTGAGGCCCCACATCTGGCCTATGAGGGCCCCTAACCGGCCTCAGTGGTCCCAACCGGCGTCTGAGGGTCTCACACCGGTCTCCGGTGGCCTTATTTCTGTCTCTGGTGTCCCAAGACGAACCTTTAGGTGCCAATAAGGGCCCCGCACTGGCTGCTGAAGACCCGATGCCGGCCTCTAAGGGTCTGCATTGGCCTCTGAGGAGGGCCCATCTTGGCCAATGGCCTTTGAGGGCCCTCTGCTGGCCTCTGGGGTCCAACGACGGCTCATGCCGGTCTTTAAGGGCCCCACGCTGACCTCTGAGGGCCCATGCTGGCCTGTAATGAGTAAGGACCCACATTAGCTTCTGAGAGCCCAACTCGGTCTCTGATGGTCTCAAACTACTGGCCTTTGTAGTTTGCAGGCCCTGTACTGGTCTCTGAGGGCCCTAAACTAGCCTCTACATGAAAACATACATGGGTGGGTTTCTGAAGATCAGAGGGCTCACGCAGTCTCCGGCACAGCCTTACGTTGGTCCTGATCGAGATTGCTTTACGTCCTGATGGTCCCGCGCTGATTCCCTCATATTTCGAGGTCGGGACCCCATGAGCCGGTGTGGGTCCTGGGGCTGGCAGAGACTGATGAAGTCCTTAGGGCTCAGGGCCAGTCTTTTTAGCAGTAGGACTAGGCAGGTTGAGTGAGCCCCAACAGAGCCGTTGCGAAGCCCCGCAGGAGTCGCGCGCGGCCCTCAGATGCCAATTCTGAAAGCTCGGAACCTGTGGGGGTCTCCAGAGGCCGGTGTACCTACTCTCTCCCGCCGCCACACAACTAGGTACCTATATGAGTAAATGTCATAGTCTAAAAATGCTCTCTGGGTTTCACATGCTTGTTCAAAGCAAGAGGTATCTGTACTTTTTAGCAAGATGTATCTGTACTTTTCCGAATTGTTTTATAGTGGTAAGGTCATGAATCCGCGTGCCTGACCTTCCAGTATACCTATGCTTCACCGATCCGTCGTCATGGACGGTGCAGCGGCCCGACCGGTGGGCACACCGTGAGACGGTAAATGGAACTGGTGATTTTGCCTTAAATTGAGCTCAAAGATTTCACGCAAGAATGAGATGGATGAAGCATAAGTAATGCCAACTGTGCGGCGCCTCGTGGACGTAAAAAATTAGCCGATCACCCCCCCCCCCTCCCGGTGACGGAAAATGTTATGTCCCGCGAGCGTGACTTTGGCCCCCCCTTTTGCTAGCGGCTGCGACCGCCAGTGTATGGGACCAAAGTCAGGCTCAGGGCTACCTAACACCTGCCTTTTCAGCTGGATTTTCAGTGTCAAATTCTTTGTAGAGTTTCTCAGACCACATCTCATGATCTCAGGACTCCAACTCAAGGCCAGTTTCCAAACATTGTGTTTTTTGGTGTTTTGATTCTGCCTCTTCCCCGAGGGAATGTTGTCATGAACATTTATTTATTCTATTGTGTTATACGTATTACCTACCATTAGACTTACTAGTTAATCGTGCTTTTGCATTTTGCAACATGAATGAGTATTCTTCCTTTTATAGACCACAGTAGATTCTTGACAATTCTAATTATAACCAAGCCTGTGAATTGTGTGAAATGCTGAGGTCCATGTGTGGTACGACCCCTTCACTTAGCAATTGACTTCTACCACAAAATGTATCTTGCAGTGGCTAATATTGCTGTTACTACAATTTGAGAGCCTCTTAGTGTCCAAAGTTTGAATCGTTTGCTGATAATTTTTTTTTGCACAAAATCAAAAATACCGGCATGCTACCGGCAAGACATGCCAGATACCACGTATAAACCTGCGGTAGTGAAAAATTACCGGCATGCCGGTAGTGCGGTAGGGAAATTTTGCAACTCTAGTATGGACCCTTACCTGTCCTTCCGCACCCCACTTTGGAGATGGGTGTTTGAACCCCCCTGGGTTTTGTGAATATCTCTAAAGCGAATTTTTAGAGGGTGGATTACGATCGGTTCTATGCGACAAGTGACCACACACACCCAGCCCCAGGTCCGCTCACTCTCTCCCCACATCACCCCCGCCCCACACCACACTCCAGCCCGCCTCATCCACAGAGCCGAGCTAAATAGACAGGCCTGACCTTTACCCACCCCCCTCCCCCCAGCCGGTGTAACGCAGCGTCCGGTCAAATCGCTCTACCAGGCGACCCGAGCCGGTGTCATACAGTGTGGGTAGGCTGTGCCGCTTCACTCTCGGGTCATGCGGCACAGCCTACCGGTACCAGGCGACTGCTGCCAATGCTGAGCCATAGGAACCCGGTGGATAAAGAGTAGGGGACCATCAACCTGTACACGACTGTACACATTCGTCGTTCGTACTCTTCCTACTTTATTGTCAATAATGAGATCCTAAGTCCCATTTATCTCCAGTAATCGTGCTCACTGATCAGTTTATAGAAAACAAAATTGGACCGAGCTAACTTCGGCTCGGCCACATTTAAACATTCGTCATTGCACAATCCGGAAATTCCCATTTAGCCATCGGACGGTCACTGGGCCGACCTGGCCGGCCGGTCTGCTGCCCGTCTGAGCTACGGCGTCTGCCCGTGCCCGATAGCCGGTGCCAGTGGTCCCAGAAATGCCACCACGGAACGCTCGAGATCCGCGGAAAGCCATCGTCGTCCGTGGCTGGATCTCTGTCGGCGGTCGCGCTAAGACAAAAGGAATGGCGCCTGGCGGCTCAGCACGAAAAGGGACGGCCTTCTGATGGCGCCGGATGAGGAAAAGAAAGGGCGTTCACCTTGCCGATCGATGTCTACCAGACGTGACCATAACAAAAGACGGCTCTATCTAACGCCTGTTACCACAGCCCTCAAACAAATTCATAGCTACTAATTATGTCACAATAAAACTGATGTTAATGCAGATCTGGCAGCGTGCAGCAATGACCTTGGCTCTGCGTCTGCTGCGAGATGTCACTGGTCAGCAGTCAGACGGTTCGTGGACTGACCTTTGAATGGCGCGCGTGAGCGTGTGGTTGGCATCCCAGTCTTCAGTGGCCGGCCCGTCCAGACGGCTGGCGGCCGCCGCCTGGTGGCCGTTCTGAGAACTAACCACCGTGTCCAAAATGCCATCTGAAAAAAGAGACAGCACCATTTTACCAGCCTGGTCGACAATATGCATCAAGAACCTATATATGAGGCTAGATAAATATTACATAGGTAATCGTATGAGCCGTAGAATGCATGAGGGAAATACATAAGCCATAACCCAAATAATAAAGGATAGACACGAATATAACCATTAATTTGCCACTAAACAAATAATTTGACAACAAGTAGCAAATTCCGTCTCGAAAGAATCCTCTTGTTTCGCTCCGATTTCATCCTCGCCTCATCGGGGCTGGCCGCTGGCGAGTCCGGTTAGGCTGTCCCGCAGTACAGTTGGGTATTGCGGCACAGCCTACCTGCAGCACAGCCAGCCGAGTCCACTCGGGAGCGAGCAAACTGAGCCGCACGGGCCCGCACGGCAACTGATCACGACTGAAGAAATCGCAACTGAAAACTATTAAGAATCTGAGGACTGCAAATAACAACGATGGTTTTTTTTTCACAGCAGAGCAAAATAAACGGTTTGTTCATGGCACATTGCCATGTAACATTTTATAAAAAAATGCAAACATACTCAAATGTTTAGTGATTGTTTTATCTCAATTGGATGCCTTAACGATTATTTGGATGCATATTTCGAGTATTTTCATACCTCCTTATACCTATATCGCTATACCAGAGCTCGTCGTTGTTGCTCGTCTAACGCTCCAGTTTGTATCAATGACGACTGATGAGCTTCAATATGAATGTTTACAAACGCCAAACATCAAACGGGCTGCAATCGAGCCCTCCGTCCAGAGGCAGCTGTTGACGATCAGCTGACTGGCCTGAATGCCAAATACAGCCGCACTCGCCAGCCCCTCTGCGCGCGGAATTGAGAATTGAGATGCGGCCTCCGGCGTTCGCTGCAGACGCACACGAAATCAATTTTCGGTCGGACCACGCCCGGCCATATCGGGCCCTAAATCACTCCGACCAGGCACAACAACAGCTCATATTTAGTCTGACCGGCGCGCCGGCGATGGCCAGTGGCCGGCCGGACCGCTCTGACCGATTGCCTTGTTTGGTGACCCGGGGTAGGGCAGTGGGGGGGGGGGGGGGGTCGGTGGTTACACAAGGCTCCGAGCACAGCCGCCGATCGGAGCGGCCCCGGCTGACAGAGAGCTGTTTTGTGGCGGCTGGCCAGACAGGGTCAATAGGGCGGTAACGATCCACGGCTTCGGTTACAGAAATGATAGTTCGCTAAATGCTGGGAGATGAACAATTTTGGTGTTCATTCTAAATGAAAATGATAAAATTTTGTAGCATTTGTAAATGCATTTTAATCCAATGGAGACCAATAAAATTTTATGAAAAATGGGTATAGGTACTTCTTGTCGGTTGCTTGAATCAATGAGCAACTACCACTATTCAAGGCTGTGTTCTTTTTTTTGCACCAAGTAGGTACTTCGATTGGCTAATCTAACAGGCACCAGCCAATCTAATTTCAATTATCTCAATTACCTCAGTAATTAACTTAATCTTGATCAGCTTCTCGCGCTACTCTGAATCTCCGTATCCCACTAAGATATGACATCCCTACTGCAACCATATATCTCTCTGGTCAACAGCGTCCCTATCGGTGACTTTTACACCCAGGGTTGCTGTCGACTGCCTTGATCATAGGCACACGCTATCACCAATCGGCTGGGCCGGAACGGGTAAATAGACTTCGCTCAACAGTTTGACAGTTTGGGACGAGCTCATAAGCTGTCGAGTACTGCCCCGCGCGGAAGGATAGAGCGCATCGCCATTCCGCGTCTCATCTCACGGCTGTCACTGAAGTGTGTGGTTCGAGCCTCGAGACAGCTAATGTTTAACAGTAAACCCTGAATTCGAGCACACTAGCTGCTAGTTTACTCTGTTTCGAATCGCAACCTTTCATACCTTTGTCTAGGAGTTGCATCAAATAAAAAGAGAAAAACTGAGCAAAGCGCCGGATTTCAGTGCCCGGAAGGATCTTCCGGATAAAATCCCTTCAGACTTCCTATTTACCTTCAAAAGGAGCCACTCAGTCAATGGACACTTTGCTCAACAGATCAAAGCATCGCATCCGACAAACCCAAACAGCCATTTTTTCGTATCGCGTTTCGCTCAGCCAGTCGGTTACGTATTTCAGTATACACAACACCATCTTTGGTGAGTCTGGTCTGCATATACCGGGTGGCCCAGAAAAAACGTTCCTAACTTTGGAGGCCTATATATCAAATACGAGTACAAATAACAAGCCAAAATTTTCATCAAGTTTGCGTCATTTCTTTGCGCATTGGTATGCCAAATTATAACACTATACCATCATTTTCAAGCTGGCAATCTTGAGTTGAACTAAGCAAGACGTTTTTGCTTTTTTTTGCCGATGTCAAACGATAGTGATGATTGGGTTAGACGTCCCATGTTATAAAAAAAGAATAAAAAGTGGAGCACGTGAATGAAACCAACACGTATGTTCTTATTTTAAATATTTTTGTCTCTTTTGTGCCAAATATTCAAATACTGAGTCAAAATGGTGCTCATGGATTTCATTCATTTCAACACCAAATCATGTTTCGAGCAGGAGTGGCACGGTGCATGGATTACTGCTGATTACCCTTCTTTCAGTAAATCAAACAGTAAATCGACCGGATAAGGAAAACAAACTAAAAAAGACTGGTTCCTGTGCCAGAAGACCACAGAATAGCTTATGAAAAAAACATTGCCAGCAGATGAAAAAAAAAAACGGGTTGAAAAGCTACCTTTTCCCAGGAATGTCAGCCAGGAAAGCATTTGAGCCACAAGATGGTTAGAAAACTGGAAACTTCTTCCGATGCCGCTGGCACAGAGCCATCGTGGTTGCCTGAGGGAATGTGTCATCCTGAGACCCGAACCATCAATGAGACTAGCTGCCAGTAGAAGTCATGGCTCTAGGCCGCGGTGCCGCGAGGTGAAAGTGGCACGGTTCACTCACATTTTTTAGTAAACATCGGAGCAAAAAAGTAATTTTTACATGGCATGCTTGAAACACGAACCGTTTAAAAAGTAATTTACCGAACACCATGAAAATCATACCATATACTGAAAATGTGTGCCGCATTGACTATTCGAAGTTTCAATGTTGTATCTTTATCACTTTCTGAGAAATATTGATTTAAAGTTGGGAACGTTTTTTCTGGGCCACCCGGTAAAGCAAGCCGGCACGGCTGGCGTCGGCAGTGGCGTCGACGCCAGTGCGATCGGCGTCTGAATTGATAGTCCTTTTAGTGGCGGCGTAGCGGCCCATTTCTGAGCGCGGCCCGGCGGCCCGGGGCGGCCTGGCCTCCCTGGCCGGTAATGCGGCCCGCTCCGTCACAGCCTCCAGGCGCGGTGGCCGGCTTCGCCAACAACACTGCCACAGCTGGTGGCTAGCGAGGAACGGGCGGAACCGAACGCCGGCAAAACACACCGACTCGGGGTCAGTGGTTCGGCCGGACTGAGGGTGTGGGGAAGAAAAAGGACAAAGGGAGAGACTGTGCGATATACTATAATAGTCACGCTTTTCCTAAAATAGGATGTTAACTTTCAGACATTTATTCCAAACTGTCCGGTCATTGTGGGAGCAGTCGGAGGCCACAGGTGGTCTGTCTGCCGACCCAGAGAAACCACTGCGTAAAGGCTCGAGCAGTGAGCCACTTCGGACCGTCTCCGGAGGACCTGAAACTCACCTTTGACGACGTAATGGATGAGGTCCATAGCGCGGCGCATTTGGCAGAACACGGTGTCCCGGTTGTCTCGTGACCGGGGACAGTCGGGGTGGCGTAACACCGCCTGTGAACACGAGGGTAACGGGGTTAGGGACGCTCGTGATATCTCAGTGACTGAGAGACAGCAAAGGAGGGGAATGCTGTCGGAGGAAGACCAGGGTTTGATGTGCAAGTGATCTCAGTGGCAGGAAGACAGTAGAGGGGCCGGGGGGGGGGGGGGGGGGGGGTACTGGTTGCCAACGCGGCGGTTCCAGGGCTAAGCGTGCCCGTAATCTCGGTGGCAGGGAACTGACAGTCGGTCACCGTGGCACTGCTTGTCGATACGGAAAATTAGGATTAGACAGGCATGCCCCATGAACTCTAAGACTTGTGCTACGGGCACACTCACAAAGCACCAATAAACGGGTTGAGGGTCACTTAAATGTAGATTTCGTCAATAAATAGGTTGAAATATGTGTTCCAACTTCTGGGTTTATAAAAAAAAAAACAGTTGGTGACATTTGGCTCCTGAGCATAGGAACGTATTCGCCATCTGCTTGCGCATGTCGTCAACGAGTGGATGACAATGTCTGCACTAAAGGGCTTCTCCAAATGCTAACAATTTGTACAGCCAGTCTTGAAAGAACCGCGCATCGGTGCGGTGAATCCATCAAGCCCGACTGAGGAAGGGCTGCTAAATTTGAGACTTGAGGGTCACCGAGCCAATCGATATCCTCATCCATCCCCCGGTTCAATTGGTTCGGTGACTCAAATTTAGCAGCCCTTCCTCAGTCGCGCTTTGTGAATCAGCCGCAGTGATACGCGGTGCTTTCAAGACTGGCTGTACTATTTCAGACGATCTACATAGCCACAACTTTTATCTCCCAAGTTAAGCTTCTTCTTGATAGCCAAATCAACCAAGATGTCATCTAGTTGTAAAATATGTCGCTAAGCTTTGAGACGCCACAAATTGCGCTTCCAGAGGATGCTCCCAAATAAATGATGCGTCAGAAACTTCAGGCAAACATTTATGTCGTGCTGACGAGTGTTGTGGCAGCTACTGCTCCGAAAACAAATGACTTGTAATTCAGTCGATGCCTTTGCTGAACATCTTCATTGTTCATATTTCATAGGTAAAAAAAAAAAACGGCATGGCAATAAGTTCACCAACTAATGAAGCTTACCGATCATTTCAAGCAAAAGTCAAACATGTTCTGACTTCTATGTCTAATATGTATAACCATTCTGAAACCTTAAAGAACAATCTTCCTCTTCTGCAACAATATAATAACCTGTGAGGGTAATTTTGTGCATGAAGCGTCACCTAAAGGCCTGGACACGAATTACATGGGATATTATCCGTCCATCCGCAATACGACGGAGCGTTTAATTACTGCAGACTTTACGTCACAATCTACTCAACTCGAAGTCACTGATCAGCAATACGTATGCAGGACCATTCTCACACACGCGCCGTCCACCTATTTCGATCGTCATTTGCCGCCGACCCTGTCCTTCCCAGCCGGGGTCCCTGACTCAGTATCTCGTTGGCCCATCCCGGGCCACCATCAGGGCTCCAACTCGCTCCAGGCTCGTCTCGCCTGAGGCAATTCAATAAGCGGCGCGGGCGGCGGCCGGACGGCAGGCCGGTGCTGGCCGCGGCGGCGCGGCGCCCGCCAGTGGCCATCCAGCCGCCGGGTTACTGGCTTGTTGCTGCTCTTATAGCCGGGCAATGTGATGGCCACTGCTGAGGGCGCGAGAATTCACTGGGAATGGAGACTCACCCAACATTCTAGAGAGGCAGGCGGTGCCACGTCGGCTAGAGGCCGTCTCGGGAAGATGCATACCGAATACCGATACATGCGTGCCGAATAAGTGACGGGACTACTTCTTAATAGGATATGGGATGGGTGGATGATAGATCTGTCAAGCGCACTGCGCAGACTAAATGCAGATGGATGATCTAGAAAGATGGTCTGCAATATGCCCATCGCTTACAGGATATCCGAAAACGCGTCGTCAATCCCAGCTAAGTGAATTTGGCAGCGCATAAGGTAGCGAACGATCCGGCACTAAATCTCTTGTAGTCTTCGATGACTTTGGCAGATCCTTTGTCAAGCCAGTCTTGGCAGCTACTTGAAATTGTCTTTGGAATAATATATGACTCGTAGCTCAGTGAGCGAAAGTTGAAGCCGAGTGACGGTGCCATCGGGACAGCCAGACCGAAAAGGGTAAGGGATCGAGGAAACATTGATATTGCTCTTACGATATCTCCTTTCATTCGGCAGAAATACCCTACTGCAGCATAAAGGAATGAGGTCTTTTGTAACCACAGCCAAAATAAAGATCCATGGGTCTAGAAAATTCGATGGTTAACTTCGATACGATATTCTTAAAAAGAGCGATAGTGCATGGTCGCTCAAAACTATAACATATTAAACCAGAATAATGATAAAATGAATACGCTATGCGCAATATAACAAGTAACAATACAGATTTTCTTACGCTGGCAACAAAGAGGCATACAAATGTGCTGCCTGTGTGATGGCCACAAACGTTCATGGACGTCTTTAGGAGAGTGTCACTGACCTTGGAAGACGTCAGCAGCATCATAGTAGACCTCTCGAGCACCTGACGAGCGGCGGTGATCTGCGCTCGTCGCCGCTCATCCTTCAGGTCACTCTGTCGGCTGCCTGCCGGTCAGAAAGGGGCGCACCATAAAGGGTCAAATATGAGCAGAAAATGTAGTAGTGTGCTGATTATAGTTCGTTTTTTTTCAAAAGGACGTTGGCTCCAAGTTCCTTATCGAACCTCTCACGTGAGTTTTGGCAGCTTCAGCGTCTGGCCAATAATTTCTTACCGAAAAAATATTCGATTTCAAATTGTGCACGGTAAGTACCCGGAAATTGTGTCTTGAAAAATTAGCATACTATGATGACGTCACTGGTAGCAGCAGGCACCCAATGTCCGTACGATGGGACAAAGTTTCGACGGTTTTGGTGGAAACTTCGTTTTTCACTGTTGCCGAGGTTATAATCGAGTAAGCGGTTTCGTCCATGATAGTTATACGTTACATTGCAATACAAGTTTGACAGCATGACGTCACCACTGTTCCCATATCTGGTTCCAAAATGCACGTATGAAAATTATTGGCAATATTTCACATGTTAAAATAAGGCGACGTTCGAGTTTCTCAGGTTCAGTTTTTGCTCGTTTTGGTCGCTAAAACGCGTGCTTTTTCGAAAAACGTACTTGGAGCCAGAGTCCTTTTGAAAAAAAACGAACTTATAGTTCTGCAATTAAAAAATGTTGTTCTTTTGTAAGTCGCGAATTAAGCACGTTTATTGTCATGGTATTCAAAGCCACATAAGTATTAATTGCCTAATTAATCCATCGACTGGTAACACTTGCCAGTCTACATATTTTATTGAAGTTCCGACAACAGTCCATTCAAGAGTCCGATTGTAATGCAAAACAGGCAGCAGCGATAATATATCTAACGCGTTGAACAGTTCGATAAAATAGGGCAACTGGTTGGTCTATAAAATAGCACACTCGGAAAAACCTGTCAGACTCAGGCCAAGTCAGCATTTGGGAGCTGATGCTGTCGAGAAAACAAAACTAAAAATGATTCTAATTTAGTTTGAAACAAAAGTTAACAGTTTTGTAACTCTAGTTTTAAGCTTTGAAGCTTTACGAGCTTCAAGTCCGTCCGTAATGCCTGTTCCTGTTCATGCTTCAAATATGGCTTAAATTCATTATTTTTGATAATGCACAATCTAGAGACTTCAGCAGTCAATATGATGCTCTTACCAGTGAGATGAGCAAACTCGACCATTTCCTGGCCAAACTGGCTAAAAGCCTTCACGAACTCTGTGAAGTTGGTGACACTCTTCAATCGGCTCAGCGTCCGGACCGCCTGCAACGAAAGTGCACCTGTTATAAGTCGTGTGTCATGGTTGTGCTGACGGTGGTTTCCATATTCACATTGACATGTCGAACCGGTCACTGCTGGTAGACTCCAAAATTGCAAGAATCACGCGCTTCAACAGGTTGATACAATGTTTGGGAGCATGTGGACAAAATGAATCACACGTGTGAAATCGATCTTTTTGCATTTTGGCGGCAGTTAATTGCATACATGGGACCCATTTATGTTTTTTTTGACCCATTTGAACATACACGAGTTGTTTTAGTTTTTTTTTTTACTCACGAGTCACTCACAATTGTGACGTGACCAGTGACTGCTCAACAGTCGCAGGGTTGGTATGGGATCTTGATCACGTTATGTCGTAATCATAGTTGCAATGCTACTGTTTGCTTTATTTGTAATCCCGTGGTCGTAACACGTCAGGCGGTGTAGAACCATTCAAAGTTGTATCAATTTTCTATATGAAGGCAATAATGAATAAGGACGATCTATATTGTTTTTTTTTTCTTTAAAAAATCACGAGGGAGTGAGAGCAACTGCATGCTAGATCATTTCTCAATAACTATGTACCAACATGGTCTAGGTCAGTGCCCTGTTACTCAATGACCTCTTGGAAACTGAGCTTCTCGACGCAGATGGATATCCTCTCGTTTGGGGGCCACATTTCTCACAAATTTATTACCGGCCATAAATACCAGTCATACTGTGATAAATATTACCGGCGATAAATACCGGTCATACTGCGCCCGTGAGCGGCATGTATCTCGCCTCACCTTACCGAGAAACCTCCACTCCTCGCCAGAGATGGCCGTCCAGGAGCGCTTCGAACGACGCTCACTGCGCCAGTAATGCCGCTCATCGACAAAAATAGCGCACGGCCTCATGGTGGCCCCGTAACGACTCCCCAGGGCAAAGGCGGTAGATTAAAGCCCAGCCCCGGTCATCAGCGGCAGCCATTGAAAATCGCGTGTCATAATTTATCCCCAACGGAAAGGGAGTAAAAGGGCGTGGTGGTCGGGCAAGAGCAGAATATGAAGCTGGGGAGGAAGAGACGTATGTAGCATGAACAAAATATGATTTTTTTTAAACCTGATAACAGGAATAGGCATACTTTGAAGGTGTCTTGAGTGAAGTGGTCCTAAGCTCTGCATGAAAAAGCGCGTAACATTTTGAAAGATTTCATAGGAATGAGTCACGGATATGTGTGGTGTTAGAATAAATTGGGCCAATCGAAAAAAAAAACAAAATACTAATGTGGCAAAAGTGGTGCAATGTATCCATCGACATGCATGGTAAAGACGAAACAAGCATATGGAACGTTCATCTGTCTTGTTGGAAACATCAGATTTCCACACAGCGAGCTTCAGTGCCACACTGACGAGCTGGGTAGGTACCGCCCAAAGCCCACATCTCCGCGTCTGAACTTCATACGAACTCCAACAGGACCTCTGCAAACGACTCTGGGAAATCCTCCGCAACTGCGGGAGATGTAAGTCGCAGGTCATCAGAGCCCGGTGGCTTGTCAAACGGCCACTGAAGGGTCGTGCACACTGCACAGTGAGGATACATCAGCCTTTGTCGACCCGCTGGCGCAGCCCGCTCGCTCCTCCAAAAATGACGGCCCGTCCGCCACCACTATGGCTGCACACTTCCATAAAGCCCGCACGTATCGACGTGGAAGCGACAAAGAAGACGAGAGGCGGACAGTGCGTGGAACGAGAGGAGTAACAAGTTACCGAGAGACCAACCAGTAGGTCGGATGGGCTGGTAGCTGAGTGGCCTCGTGACCATGTTACCCAGTGGCTGACAGCAGCACGGATGACGGCGCTGAACAAACGACGGGCTGATGAGCGCAGCATCGACCGAGCGGACGACCGAATGGGCGGTAACCGGTCGGACAGCCACGCCAGAGAGTTACCCAATTACCAGCCAGCGTTAGTGGCCGCGGACCGAACGACGGAACAACTGGGGGAGACGACAGGCCAGCTCAGCGAATAACGGAAATCTGTGCCATCGCGGCACACGGTAACCAGAGGAGGGACCAGTTTCAGTTCCAGCTCGATTTCTAAAACAGACACGTTCCTTTCCATTCAAAGCTAAAACATTGCCACTGCTGTCCCTATCAGAACAAAACATGCGCGCAGCGCTGCGCCACCCTGCACCCAGGGGGCTGGCGACCAACTGTCCTGCTCACATCAAAACATTGTCACTGATTGATCCCAAAACACTACCGTTGCCTCGACTCGCCATTCCTTTATGGCGTTATTTTTCCGTTTGCTGTATTACTTTACTTAAACAGAACCATCACTCAGTTCTCCAACCTAAGCGAGCTAAATATTGATGCCGGCAAGATACGAAATCACTACACCCCACCCCCAGTTCCCCCATTCTAGCTCTCCCACCACGCGGGCTGGGGGGAGGGAGGACAATTTATCTTCCTGGGACACTCGGAAAGGTCTGTATCTGGGAGAGGTCTGTGTGTGGAGGCATCGGGGGTGGAGAGGAGGGGGGGGGGGGGGCTGTGCTCAGCTGTGCGGTCTCGCATCGAGATGACGTTACCAGCGACAGTAAATCTTTGAGTAAGAAGTTACCTCATGGAATAGAAAAAGGACTATCTTTTCTGGCAATGCCACGTCGCACTCAGAACTGAAGAAAAGAGCAATGGTAGGAGTTAGCAGGGGCTAACAAGCGACGGGTCTTCGGTAGAACCTAACCAATAGGAGATATTATGAATTGAAACTGTTCTGCTTTGGGCTAGGAAGTTGTTTTTTAGTGAGCTTCTAGTTTTCACCCAACTCGGCTTCGTTTGCTATTGGAACCACCCAACGAAGTAAGGTGTTTTTATTCGTTTAATTAACCACTACTGCTGCAGGATTATCATTAATTAGGGCACTAAATTCAGGTTCTTCCTCCACTGATAAACTTTCCTCATTTAAATCAAGTCGCAAAAAATTCAGCCCTGATCGTGGTGGAGTTTCAGCGGACTGGTTTGTCATCAGTGAACTCTCACTCTCAGCCCTCAGCCTACCCTCTGAGTCTCAGAGTCAGACTGTCTCTGGGGTCTACCCGACCGTCTGCCTGACCGTCTCCTACCCGGGTGGGTAGGAGTTGACCCAGCGTACTCCTGGTGATCAGTCAACCCGGGCCCTCGTGCCTCTCACGCGTAGTCGGCCCGGGCCTTCTGGGTCCCCCAACCTCCGGCCGGGCGCCCGCCCAAGAGAAGGTCGAGGGCCCTCGAGCTGGCCGGCCGGTCGGCACTACGAACGAGCTCATTGTGCTCTGCCGGGAGGAGAGGTCAGAGAGAGAGAGAGAGAGAGAGCGGGGAGCAGCAGGCGTCCACACCCGATTCCTAGTATCGGCGAATGGAGGAGCGGGATAGGCAGAATTTTCGCGGGATGGCCTGGGACACGGTGAGTGATGAGGTGGGAATTGGTGATGACAAGATGATGCGTGAGCGAGATGAGCGTACCATGCATGATGCATGTTCTCGGTGATTTAGGGAGACTAACGGACTCGTACTATTTGCCACCAATTCTTCTTCGTTGTCCTTCCTTGTTTTCATCATTTCTGATGCTGAGGGTAAAATATGGGATCATTCATGAAACAAGGTAAACAGTGGAGCAAAACGCAAAAGAATTGGGATAATCGTTCAAATGAGGGGGGCTGCCTCAGGTACACTGGCTACGTAAAAAAAAGAACGTTACCTACTTTGAATGCCCATGGTAATGATTTCCAAAACGCATACTGTCTAAAGTAAATCACTTCTGTCATGCGAGCTAATGTTGTAACATGACTCATTTGAGGTTATTGAAAAAATATGCAATACATTTACAATGCATTAATACAGAAAACATATATTTGATTTACAAGAGCAGCCAACGAGACTGTTTTCAATTGACAGCCATTTGCTGGGGAAGTTTCCAGTCACCACTAGCAACTTTCGCCAGGCAAACACGGCTAGCTTTGACAAAACACCCACGCTGCAAAGTTGGAATGTCGGCGTCCCACAGCGCTCATACGTCACACACTCCGACATTCGGCAACAGCAGTAGCACTCTTATGTTATATCTCTCGGTTGGACTCATAGGCATCCTTCAGATGTCATTGTCATGACCGTGTTGCCTTTTCTGCATCTTTCAAAGCTAGAAAAATACACCAAAAGATACCACAGACGCCATCACTGAATTTGCTGAATGTTGCTAAATATTGAGTTGTACTTAGCCAAAAGCTAGTTGTACAGTGTACACTGCTTTTGAGTTGTACTTGGCCAAGCTGCAAGGCGCCAAAGGCACTGCTAAAGCTTTGGAGGCTATTCACTATATATGAAAGTTTCGCAAGTTGCCAATGTTATGGCACTGACAGACCCTTCCTATCTCCGGAAGTTCGGCGACTCTTCGCCCGGTGTTGCAGAGGTCCGGTCGTGCAATGAGCGTGTCATTAGGTCTGCCGTAATTTAGGAGGGCAGTGCAGCCTGTGGGCGTCAATAGAGACCAAATGGTATGGCTCTGCTGGGGATATTGGTCGAATGGGACAGCCGCAGACCTGCCAGCCGGCTGGTGGCCAGGACGGTTTATGGGACGCGCTTAGTGACCGCCCGAACAGACATCGAGTGACCGAACGAACAGACATCCAGTGACCGAACGAACAGACATCGAGCCGCTGAGCCACAGATTGGGTGCTTAAACATGACAACGGACATCCCACGACCAAATTTATTATTTTCTTATTTTGAATACTTTTGTCAACGAAAATCACTATAATAATTTCATGTCTAATAACTCACAAGACAGCGATACATTTCCAGCTAATCATACTTTGAACATCAAATCAAAGTAACTTAAATTATTCTGGAGAGCGTTGCAATAATAATTAGATGTGACGTGCCAGCTTTATCTGGTGGAACACAACTATAAAGCTCGTCAGTTTATGTTGAAACATGACAGAATTATTCGCCCACCGGCTCCACTACCAAAATCATCACGGTAATGTGTTTTTGTTTTCAGCCAGCTCGCTACACAATACCCACCCTAATCGGTCTCATATTTCCACAGCGATGGAATATTGGCTCCGGGCCTGCTATTTAGCCGTGCAAACGGGCCCGCTGGGCATTTGATGAGTTGAGCAGACAGAGCAGCCCAGCTGCAGGGAGTGCCTCTGTTCCTCGGCAGTCGGAGAGCTGTTGACCCAGTAAAAACTGCCGCCGGGCCTCCCTCAGGAGTCACAAACGAAACGGCGGCCGGTGACTAACGGTCAATGTCACCGGCCTCCGGAGCCGGCTGACTGCGACGATATTGCCATGCCCCGTCCGGAGACAAAAAGAAACACGGCGCCGCCGTGTCGACTTTGGAATAGCCGAAACTTTCGGACAGGCCTTATGATAAAACACGAATAAATGAAAGATGTGCGAATTTTTTTTCAGCGTAAGTTCTCTGGAGAATAAGGAATCGCTAAGGATAAGTTCGCTGTTTGCCCTGAAGCAAAGTTAAAATTATGATTTCTTCGAATAATCCAAGAAAAGATTCTGATTGACTGATGCGAAGAATTTCCCTACGGTAAAGTTGGTACTCATATTTAGGACAACAGACAGCAGGTGAATGATACCTATGCATAAAGGGAAGAAAAAAAGACGTTTAAACCATCCCCATCTCAGTAATTTTCCACTCTTACGTCAACGGACCCAAAACTCACTCCTATCAAGCTCGCTAACCCGCTCGCGCCGACGAGCCGCCGCCGTCATCTGTCGACGTCGACGAGCCGCCGCCGTCATCTGTCGACTCCAACGGCTCTGTTTGTGGCGGCGCCCCCCGTTCGGCACACACCAGCGGAGCGGGACGCTCGAGCCGATCGCTCAGGGCGGGGTCGCCACTGTCAGCCGGGGGCGGTCCGGCGCGGGGCCGACACACGCCGGAGCGTACGATCTGCAGTCGGACCGGCCACCTAATCAGAGACGGTGTCACACAGGACTGGGCCGAACCCGAGCGCCGGGTCTGGCTGCCGCAGGGCAATAAACCCGGCTGGGTGCCACCGGCTGGTGGACCTGACTGGGGTTCAGGCCTCTGGGACTGCAAGGAGTTTTTCTCCCTTATACATTCTCATCGGTTCTGTTTTCTCTTTTCTGCTTCTCTCTTCTCTCTTTATCTCTCTCTCCCTCCTCTCTCTCTCTCTCTCTCTCTCTCTCTCTCTCTCTCTCTCTCTCTCTCTCTCTCTCTCTCTCTCTCTCTCTCTCTCTCTCTCTCTCTCTCATCTATTTCCCTCATCCTCTATAATGTGTGTGCGTCATCAACTCCGTATCAGAGTAAGTGAGCATCTGTCATCCTTTTTGCCTTTTTCTGGCTTCCCTCCTCATTCCTTCTCTGCTTTCCCACTTCCTCTACATTCCTCATCCTCTATCACTTTTCCCGCTCTCCTGTGATTCTCCCAGTTTCCCGCACCATACCGGCCCTGCCTCTGCGACTCTGCAGAACCAGCACTGGCCGAAGGCACTGTGGTAATGACTCGGATAGAGCAGCTACCCTCCATTAGCTTTGGCGTCACCTCAGAGGGCGACTGCGCGGGAGGCAGCCAGCAAAATGATGGTGCATGACATTGACCCTGACTGGCACTAAAAGTGAGTAGGCCGGTCCGTTAGGTGTAAGCCTGGGTAGCCCTGATGTTCACAACGCGTCAGCTGTGACATTTGACCCGTTAGATCTGAATCTGAGTCACTCTGCGACCAGCAACCTTCGGCCGGAAGCCAAGGAAATATCCACCATTATTGCCTATGGATGGGATGCTGGGTGGGCCGACTGACTGACCTTGTCCTTGGAGAGGATCAGCTGTTTGACCACCACGGTATCTGCGAGTAGGAGCACCTTGGTGACGCTGGAAAGGAGGCAGCGCGCGGCGCGAACCAGAGTCGCCCGGTCTGTGCTCTTCGCCTCGGCCTGCAGCGCGCACAGCTTCTCAATGGCCGACCCTGGAACACACAGCACAATAATCAGGGACAGGAACGGAGGGAAAAACATGTTTGTGTTGAAGGGAGCTGTTGTGAAAAAACTAAACAGTAGTGTTTGCAAGCACTGAAAGAAATCGTTCATTGGAAATAATGAAATTTATTTGAAATCAAATTCAGTCTATTCAAGGCTGAATGAAGACCGAGTTTGCTCCAAAACATCGGAATATTCAAATCTTTTAGCAAGCCGATAATCTGGAATGTATGTTTTGTCAGAAAGAACAATTTTTTTCGAAAGTTGACTGATTTGCTCAGTTTTAGCCATTTTTCGTTTAAGACAAGCATTGTCCGAAGTGGTTCTAAATAAGCTGGAGAATGCCCATCTAGTTGTCAGCCTCTCAGGAAGACGTAAAAATGTAAAGTAAAAATCCTAAACAAGGCACAAACGAGATGCACAATTACGTGATATCGTTTAAAGCTCATGTAAACTGCATCCTAACGTAAGCTGCTGTTATTTCATTCTGAGAAGTGTTCAATCGGGGTGTTCATTCATAAACACCCCGTTAGTGTGTTATGGGTATGGACAGACCTGCGTCACAGCCTTCTCTTTCTCTTTAGAGCTTGTGAGGGAGGAGGCAGGCAGTCAATGCCATGTGACATTGACCGCCTTAAGAAGTCGGTCAAATTGCTTGAAAAGATCACCGGATATGAGATCACTTTACTGCCGCCCTGTGCCATGGCGGATATGAGTCGCTCACCGAGCTGGTCTTTGGCAGAGCAATAAGGCGATGAGATTCATTTGATGAGACTCATTTGCTGTCGTTTCTAAACTAAACATCGTGATTCGCTTGTAGAATGCTGCCGCTGAGACACACTTTGCTATTATGTCACCGGTGAACAAAAAATAACTATAAAATACCCTTTTGCCTTTAGGTACACATACTATGCACATTATGTACAGACATCACGTACGACATTGCAAGTTGGCTTGTGGTCATGTTGAAAGGTAAAAGTGCATTTGTAGTGCATGTTTAGTCGGTGTTAGTTCACTGAATTCGTTCAATGAGTTATGTATCGCACACTAATCAGTTAACACTTTTCAGTTTTTAGCATGAATAAAAAGAGATAAAATCAGACCCTTTTATAGAATCGACTAGCACATGTTGCCATAATTTCTTGGCTTTTTGATCACGTTCTTGTGACGGTCAATAGAATACTTATTGACCCATGAAGACACCCTCTCTGCCTGCACCGTCAACATCTTATGCTGTCCGACAGGACGTATGCCATTCGCACTCTGGGAATATGCGATCACCCCCAGGAGGGCAGATCAGAGTGAGTGGTCGCAACATCGCTACATCAGGGACTGACGCGGCGGAATGACGCATCCGGGTCGGCCCACGACCTCTAGATTGGATGCGTCCGACGCAATGGGCATGCCGCTCGCGATGCATGATTCGTATTTACAAGTGGACAAGTCTCCCTGAGGGGAATACACGAGGCGCGCCAATGGGGCAGCATCCGATCGCTCAGGAAGTGGCATATGAAGCGGAGGATAGAGTGCAACCTTACACACTTTCTCCATTTCAGGACAGCGAAATAAGAGAAGCGTGGAATACGGCAGATTCATATTGAATTCGAAACAAGTGTTGACGCTAGTTCCTGTACAATCCGGAGCGCCGCAACACACGATGCCATTGCTAAAATCAATCACTCAACCCGGAGTTTAATGTATTGCACAATCACTCAGATCATATGGGATAGGGATTATTTACGTGTTTCATGTCACCATCCGCTAGGAAGATCCTGTTTCTATAGAAAGTAGAACGTTTCTAACATTTATATAGTAAATCAATTTTACGAGCATGGAAATAAACAAAAGCTAGGTGAACACTTGACACAACGAAAAAAACTATTTTTTAAAACAATTTTTCACGGTGGTGATGGCAACGTTGAGTCCCACCTGCGGCCCTGGCCTCCTTGCACGCCTCGTACATGTCGACCTTGATCTCGGGGTTGTCGTCGCCGATGGTCTCGCCGACGGTGACAAACCGTTCGACGGCCAGACTGACGGCCTGGCCGACCCTCTGCACGGCCGCGCGCTGCTCGGAGCGCAGCGGTGACCGCTCACTCCGCTCCGAGGCGTTCACCAGAGCCGAAATCTGTGGCAGAGGGGAAAGAGAGAGCGGTTAACGAGGGTGCAGACGGGAGGGTGAGGGGTCATCGAGGTGCAAAGGAAGAGAGATGAGAGAGAGAGAGAGAGAGAGAGAGAGAGAGAGAGAGAGAGAGAGAGAGAGAGGGAGAGAGAGAGAGATAGAGAGAGAGAAAGAGAGAGAGAGGGAGAGAGAGAGAGAGAGAGAGAGAGAGAGAGAGAGAGAGAGAGAGAGAGAGAGAGAGAGAGAAACAGAGATACAGAGAGGCTTATCAAGGGCGCAGAAGAGGGCAGAGGGGTCATCGACGGCGCGAAAGAAGAGGGGCACGTTGCAGTGACCCTGAGAGTCAGCGACGCGGCAGACGAACCGATAACATCGTCAATGAACGTCATCTCATCAGCGATCTAACATTGTTTTCCAATCACGAGTGACCCGTGCCGAAAACAGCCCAGCACCCGAGTTCCATCTGGGTCGCAGGCGTCGTGCTGCACGGCTCATTTCACTGCGTTGCCGCAAAAAGCGTCATCCATTACCGCTGCCAAGCTGGCCATGAGTGTGTCGGAACGGCGTAACGGCGGCGCTCTGCGCTGGGCCGGAGAAACCAAAATGGCGTTAGATCAGCGTTGGTGACTTGTTCTCGGTTAGCTGCCACTGTAAACACTACCTTCAGCCCCCGTCACCACCTCGCCACGCCACGCTAACAATCGCCGACATCGATGGGACTGCATCTCTTTCGCCGCCATCTTTTAATCTATCACCTCAGTGTCGTCGAAGACCGGAGGTTTAGGGTCAAAAGGAAACATGCAGCGCGCTGTAAAAATCGTTTACAATGTGTTTGACATTGGTATCCTTCCATGTCAGTGTGTTCAGTGAACATATTAGGCAAGAATGTTTTGAATTTGAAATGCCGCGTTAGGTGTAACGCCAGTTAAGATAATAATAGGTGTCTTGCTACTTCAATCATGTTTTATATTGTAATTATATGTTCATTCATATTTTCCTGAAATCTTTCAAGAGATATAAGGTAAAAAATTGCGTTATTAAGCCTATTATATCGAATGTTTCAAACCCACCGGCAAAGCTAGTCAGAGATACCCGCCCTAACAATTTATTTCAGGAAATGTGAAGATTGGAACCAATTTATAGACGCGCAGATATGAGTTTTTGATTGCATGGCTGGCCACAAATCATCTTGGCTTGATGGCTGCTGAGGCAACAAAAAGTATTCAGGCCAATCGCAAGCGGACGCACATTCTTCGGACCTCGAAGTTCCAAACGAACAGACATTTTTCAGCGAACGCCATCAAAAGGGTTCGATGGAATGATGTAAGGTCTCACACATTGAAATGACCTGAAATACCCAACTTAGCATTAAACCCCAACTGAATTCGACAAAGATGTTTTAGAATTAAACTGCATGGAATTCACAGTTATTAACCAGAAAGTGATTTTGCAAGTTTTTATCTTCTTTTTTTGCTTTTTTGCTGGAAATCCCACTGCTGCCACGATTGCCCCAAAGTGGGGAAGAAGTGATACAGCGGCGCAGACCTTTCTCATAGGGCACTTGGCATCCACTCCTATTTCGATATCACCTCCATATGTAAGCTAAGGTAGTCCTACTTGGTTGGCTAATCCATATTCGCTAATCCAGATCAAGTCCGTAGAGGCTGGGTCACACCACACCCCGGCTGCGACGATGGCGTTCGCTCGTCATCTGCATTCGGCACTGCGGCGCATCAAATAAGACACGCCTCATTACCCTGGAGGGCGCGAGACAGTTCAGTGGCACTGCATATCGCAGCCTCGCCTAGCGATCCGTCCCTTCAACTCACTATATGAGACCACATACTGTGGCGTGTTACTCTCATCATTCAGAAGTGCTTACACCAGCATAGAAGTAAAGCTGCTTAATTTCTGTTTCACATTGTGGAAAAACTGAAATGCCACAATCACCATATCCATTATCCACGCTACAGGAAAGATGAAACAGTTATAGCCTTACCCTGATGAAACACAAGCCGTGATCTCCGTGATAGGAGCCTGTCCATGTTCGATGAATTTAGATGTTGCATCACCCTCACCCTCCTCAAGGGCAGCAGGTAACGAGCATGACTCACGTGGGATGTCACGGCCTGGTCTGCTGGCGGCGAGGCGGTTCGGCCAAGGGAAGCCGTTCATTGCCACATGACTACATTAGGTGCAGGGGCTCGGGAGACCGTCACTGGCGGCCGATGAGTCGGGACGGACCACTCCACGTGTCATCAAAGAGGGAAGAAAGACACGTGGAGTTTGTCATTCTGGTCTGTGCCAGTCCCGTATCAGTCACTGAGAGCTCATGTAACTTTCCGACTGGTGCACCAGAGCATGGGTTAGAGCTAGCAATAAAGTGATCTTGGGTGGGAGCAGTCTGGCCTGGGTCGGAGTTGATCTCAGAGATTAGAGCACAGACAGACATCGTTGCCATGACAACGACCCCGCCAGACCCGCTGCTTGAAGCTCCGGCTCTTTGTGAGTTGGTAAGTAGATTACGACACGCCTAATGGGATCATTAGCAGTGTATAATGCGTCATATGTGCGTCCGAGGAATTTCAAACGGCTTTCTGTCACAAAAGAAGCCGTCCAAGGCCGCGGCCATTCAACTCCCTCGCTCAGCTAACGACAAAGTGTAAGAAGGGCTGTCTGAAATGGCCAACCACCAGGGGCCACATCGTGGCCAAGCAACCGTGGGCACTGGGCAGTTGCATGCAAACAGAACAAACGGGAGAGCTTCAAACGCGTAACAGCTTACTTCGTTCCAATGAAACTAATAGTTAATACGCTGTTCCAGATCATCCACCGCAAGATAAACCTAGCTCATGACGCACACAAACAATGGTGCTGCCCCTATGACGTCACTACTGTCCCTCTGACGTCACCGCCCGCCCAGGTGAGCGGGCAGTGACGTCACCGCTCTCGGCCTCCGCTTCTGGTCGGCTGGCCGGCACAGAGGCGTATTGATTTTTAACCTGAATGGAGGCGAGTCAGGCTGTGCTGCTGAGACGTTTTCTCCGGCAGGAGACGGCAGACGGCAGACGGTAGACGGTAGACGATAGGCGGTAGATGACAGGCGGTAGACGACAGGCGGTAGACGACAGATGGCAGACATCAGACGACAGACGACAGACGACAAACGATCAGGAGACGATAGACGATAGACGACTAAATGCCTGAGTTCCAGTGGCGTAAATTGTGTTTCTTCCGTACCTACCATGTGAATTGAGAAACGAAGGTTTGTTTAGCAATCCCTATCGCACATTGATGTTACACATAACAAACGCGTTTCTGAGCTGAACCATACCATAATGAGCGAATGCCTGTATGTTCCAGATGCAAAGAATAGCTTTCAGCAGTGTTTCGGATTCGCGGCAGGGCGGCTTCGATTCTTATTCCGAGCCCGGGTTTCTGACTCCTACATCGAATTCGATTACGAGCCCTGGCTTCTATGCTTGTGTGACAGCAACTAATAAAAATCAGGCGAATACACTACAGGTCCACACGGATGCCAACCCCGCACATCTAAATTGCACTTTACCCAGCACACATATACAGACGAGAAGGAATATCAACACATATCAACCCTGCCGGCCTCGTTCATATGAATTTCGCTGCCCGCGGTATTATACCTGCGGTGCATTATTCATGTAGTGGGCAGTCGGCTATCCGCTTGAGAGGCGGTGGTGCCGAAAATAAACCGGCCACCGTTTACAGGGCAGGTCAGAGACGAGAGGAGGATAGAATACCAGCGGCACCGCGCACAAGGAGACGTCAGCCGGTCTGTTCGTGTGGCGGACAGATCCCTGCACTGGTAGACTGTGCCGGCGGACAGCTCCCTGCGCTCGTAGATAGTGCCGGCGGACAGCTCCCTGCGCTGGTAGGCTGTGCCGGCAGACAGCTCCCTGCGCTGGTAGGCTGTGCCGCACTACAGCAGCGTGAGGCGGCGCAGTATCTTTGAATAGCCCAATTAATTCAGATTTCAGAGTGCCAGGGGCGAATGCTTGAAACATCGACCTTTGAATTCAATTTGTAGGAATAAACATGCCGGCTCATTGTTTCACTAAATGCCATTGAGCTATAGGTATATGTGGTGGATAAAACCAGAGCTACCATGTTTTGAAGCACATAAAAATCGAGTCGGCTATGTGTAAATATAGCGGCGTGCATGTTCCGTGACATTCGTAATAGGACAGAGAACCTCAATCCGAGTAGTGAAGAGGAGCAAAACTGCACGGAATCACGCCCGTGCTATGAGGAACAAGTCACGCTACTGGCTGGCAGAGCGAGCACTTCTACTCGGACCACGATGACCCGACCAAACGCCGTCCACCAATGGCGCTGCTCTCAGCCTAGGTCACTGTGCCTGAGGGCAGCAGTCGGAGACCGGAGCGGTGGCGCTGGGTCGACCGGCCAGCAGTGGGAGCCCAGTGGTATCGATCCACACAGCAGACTGTAACTCTCGTCAGGTGGAACAGCCACCGGGTAAAAACACACAAAACGGCCAGCTGAGAGAGCAAAACAGCCCGCACTATGCACGACTCTGTTTAGAGTTGAACGGTCGGAACAGATTATGAGCCCAAAGCACCTGATTACGGACGAGAAAAATAGGACTGAAAATGAAAAAAAAACGGCGGGTTGCGGTGCTTTAGCTCTGTTTTTGTTCTTGGATCCATTACAAACTAACAGTCATTGGCGCTAACAGTTAATTAGAAATGATCACGCCACACACTTGACCGAGAGAGCACCAAATCGATGAAAAATCCCTGAAGCTAAAACTAATTCCTCGAATGTTTATCCTTCCACATACAAAATGACTTTCATTCGAGTTAACCCTATATAGCAAAGGAACAAACAATCTATAAAACTCAATATTCAAAGCAGTTACGTGGTGGTAAAAATGCTCCTTCAGCAATATGACCTGACCAATGACCACGGTGTTTACTGATATCCTCTGCAGGCAAGTTTGTTTCCGGGGC